AAGTGAGAGACTCTGCAGGCCTAGAGAGGCGGCTCGGCGGGCCTCTGTGCAAAGAGGGAGGAGGGCTTGACTGGAGATCTTCACGCAGGGCAAAGCCGACGAGCGTTTTCTGGGGGGCAAGACAGGTGAGCTGGCGAGAGGGCGCGGGGTTGCGTTTGCCAGAGAAGGGGGCAAAGGATCAGGGGGGGGTGGCCTAGGAGAGACACGCCCGCCCGCCCCCGCTGAGGGCAGAAAGAAGGGCGCTTGGCCCCTGGAGAGTCTGCCTTCTGCTCCTCTAGGAAGCAAAGAGTTTGGCAAGTCTAGCCACCATCACCCCCGCTTTCCCAATTCTTTGGGGAAAGACGGGTCGCCCTGTGTTGTGCAGCCCCCTTTCTCTCCCAGTCTCGAGGTAGGATGAGCTGGGCCTGTCTGTCTGCAGAGCTACACTTTACACTTGCTCAGGAACACTCTCACTTCTCCCAGTTTCCTATGTTCCAGGACTGCGTCTGGGTGTTGGGGGAGTGAAGCCCAAAATCCTCTCCCCAGACTTGGCTAGTTTCTATGGCTTGGAGGCCCTGAATTTTGGGTCCCTGTCTGCACTGCAGCTTTGAGGCTTTAAATAGGGTTGCCAACTCCAGCCTGGGAACCTCCTGGAGATTTGGGGGCGGTGTCGATGGAGGAGGGGGTTTGGGAAGGCGTTTCACCTAGACTCTATGGTAGACCAATAGAGTCAGCCAGGGCTTTTTTTGTAGAAAAAGCCTAGCAGGAACTCATTAGCATATTATGCCACACCCATGACAGCACAGCGCATTAGCATATTAGGCCACACCCCTGTGTCACCAGAAGTGTGGTCATCCAGCCACACCCACCTTTTGCTTCTTATTCTGTTTACCTTGTTTGTTGTCAAAACCCAGGGCTTTTTTTGTAGCAGGAACTCCTTTGCATGTTAGGCCACACACACCGAATGCAGCCAATCCTAATGAGTTTCTGCCACTGGGTGTGGCCTATTATGCTAATGAGCTCCTGCTGGGTGTGGCCAACTTGGGAGCCAGCCTGAACTCCATTCCTGTGCGTTCCTGCCCAAATATAGCCCTGTACTGGTCTCTGAAGCAGCTGTTTCTCCAGGCCATGGGAGCTGATCTCTGTAGGCTGGAGAAGATCAGTTGTAGGACAAAGACTGGCAGCTCAAGTTGAGTGCTATTGTTCCCAAGGCATGTTTATTTATTTTGTTAGCCTTATATCCCGCCCTCCCCACATTGTAGGCTCAGGGTGGGTACTACCAACATAAAGGTAAAGGTAAAGGTTCCCTTGCTCGAAAGCCAGTCGAATCCGACTCTAGGGTTGCGGTGCTCATCTCCGTTTCCAAGCCGAAGAGCCAGCGCTGTCCGAAGACGTTTCCGTGGTCATGTGGCTGGCATGACTAAACACCCAAGGCGCACGCTGTTACCTTCCCACCGAAGTGGTACCTATTTATCTACTTGCAATTTCTTGCTTTCAAACTGCTAGGTTGGCAGGAGTTGGGACCAGAGATGGGAGCTCACTCCATCATGCGGCACCTGGGTCTTGAACTGCTGAACTACCGACCTTCCACAGCCTGCAGTTTAGCGCCTTAACCACTTGAGCCACCGCAGCTCATCATCTACCAACATACACATCTGCAATTAATGCAGATTTACAATTAGAATATAACCCATTAAAATCAATAAAATCACCAACACACTAAAACAGTAACACACCTCAAGAGATAATATAGTGGTCCCCTCTGGCTTCTAGGAACTGTGGTCACTGGAGGGGAGGCCAGATCAAAGTGGATGCCCGCTGCCTCAGCTAAAGGCCCAGCGGAAGAGCTCCATCTTGCGGGCCCTGCGGAACTGTAACAGGTCACGCAGGGCCCTGATCTCATAAGGAAGCTCATTCCACCAGGCAGTTGAGGTAAATCGGACATCCCTAGGGCCAGGGACTACCAGGGGGTGTTGGTTCGTAGAATGCAATGTCCCACGAGGATCATATGGGGAGAGGCGGTCTCAAAGATATGCAGGCAACTGGCTTTATAGGGCCGTATAGGATCCGGATGCTAGTTTGTCCAAAGGGAAAAAAAGCCTCTTGGGATGGACCACTTTCCTCTCTGTGTTCTGGAGGAAGGCCAACACCCAAGACTGTGGCTGGTTACAGTTTTAATGCTATTGTGGCTCTGGGATTCTGAAGGATTGTTTTAAAACCATATTGAAGATTCTTGGGGGGGGGATGCTTGAAATCACTGGCATACGAGCAGGGCTTTTTTTTTTTTAAGGCTGTTCAGATGGGGCTTGAATACCATTAACAGCGAGCTAAACAAATGCATGAAGGAGAGGGCTAGCAACAGCTGTTAGCCATGGTGGCCAAATGGAAATAGATTCAGGTGGGTAGCCATGTTGGTCTGAAGCAGCAGAGCAAACTTCTGAGTCCAGTGGCACCATTAAGACCAACAAAGTTTTACTCAAGGTATAAGCTTTCCAGAGGCAAGTGCAATGCACACTTTGTTGGTCTTAAAGGTGCCACTGGACTCAAACTGTCTGGCCAAATGAAACCTTCATCTTCAGGGTTAGTGTCCTTCTGAAGACCAATTGCTGAGGTGTAACCACTGTTGAAAGCGATTGCTGTGGATTCCCCAGAGACATCTGGCTAGCCATTGCAGGAAAGAGAAGGCTGGTTTAATGAGACCTTTGGTCTGATCCAGCAAAGCAGTTCCTCAGTGCTCATGGGAGGTGGCTCTATCAATGGGATAGATTCAGGTGGGTAGCCTGAAGCAGCAGAACAGAGTTTGAGTCCAGAGGCACCTTTAAGACCAACGAGGTTTTATTCAAGCTATAAGCTTTCATATGTTGTTGTTGTTGTTCAGTCGCACAGTCGAGTCCGACTTCGCGACCCCATGGACCAGATCACGCCAGGCCCTCCTGTCTTCCGCCGTCTTCTGAAGTTGGCTCAATTTCATGTTCGTTGCATCGATGACACTGTCTAACCATCTCATCCTTTGCCGTCCCCGTCTTCTTTGACCTTCAATCTTTCCCAGCATCAGGGTCTTCTCCAGGGAGTGCTCCCTTCTCATTGGGTGGCTAAAGTATTTGAGCTTCAGTTTCATTATCTGGCCTTCCAGGGAACAGTCAGGGATGATTTCTTTTAGGATGGACTGATTTGAGCTCCTTGCAGTCCAAGGGACTCTCAAGAGTCCTCTCCAGCACCATAGTTCAAAAGAATCGATTCTTCGGCGCTCGGCCTTCCTTATAGTCCGACTCTCGCAGCCATACATGACTACTGGGAATACCATTGCTTTGACCATGCGGACTTTTGTTGGCAGGGCGATGTCTCTACTTTTTATCATGCTGTTTAGGTGCGCCATCGCTTTCCTCCCAAGGAGCAGGCGTCTTTTAATTTAATGGCTGCTGTCACAGTCTGCGGTGGAACGTGAAGTCTGTCACTACTTCCACGACTTCCCCTTCATATGCAAGCACACAAATGTGTCTGAAGAAGTGTGCATGCACACAAAAGTTTATACCTTGAATAACACTTTGTTGGTCTTAAAGGTGCCTCTGGGCTCAAACTTTCTCCTATCAATGGGAATCAGCCATGATGCACGAGAAAATATTATTTGAATATTATGAAATATTATGGAATGGAAATAAAGGGCCTGAATGTAACCAGAAAACACGGGACTGGCCGTGCAGGGTAGGGAGTGGTATGTCAGGTTACCAACCCTAGCTTGGGAAATTTCTGGAGATTTGGGGTTGGATGCTGGGGAGGGAGGCTTTTGGTGATGGGGGGGACCTCAGCGGGACCGAATGCCATAGAGTCCACCCTCCATGGGATCTATGTAGTCTGGAAACTAGTTGTGATTCTGGGGAAACTCGATATTGCCCCAGAAACTGGCAACCTTAGGTCAGCTGTTTACCTGTCCTTCTCTCCATTTCTTCTTTCCGTCTTTGTTCCCCAGGCAGACACGCAGCATGCCTGTTTAAGTTCGCAGTAACTTAGTCTAATATTTTCTTCAGTGTGACGGCTTACCTTTGTGAGGACGCCCACGGATGAAAATGGAGGAGCAAGTCCCCACGAGCTCCATTTCAGGGAAGGGATCCAAAGGGACATGGAAAGCCCCTCTTGTCACCCAGGATGAAAGAACCAAAGAATTTGTGCAGAGGAGACCAGGCAGTGAGGTAAAACAGGAGTCAAGCGAGGGGATGCACTGGGAAGCCCAATGGCAAGAGTTCTTGAAGACTGTGGAGTCTCCTCCCTCAGATACGTTGCCTGATAAACCCTCGCTGTGGGAGGATGCCGAGGCCTTTCTGGCCTCCTTCGAGCAAGTGGCTGAAGCCTGTCAGTGGCCCAAGGGAGAGTGGGTGGCCCAACTTCTGCCAGCCCTCAGGGGAGAAGCCGCACAGGCCTTTAGCAAACTTGAGGCCAGAGACAGAGAGGACTATGGGAAAGTGAAGGTGGCCATCTTGCAAGGGGACACCATGAGGAGGGAGAAACAGCGCCAACACTTCCGGCATTTCCGTTACCAGGAGGCTGAGGGGCCGAGAGTGGCTTACGGTCGGCTCCAGGAACTTTGCTTTCAGTGGCTGAAGGTGGAGAGGCACTCCAAGGAGCAGATCCTGGAGCTCCTGATCCTGGAGCAGTTGCTGACGGTCCTGCCTCCAGAGATACAAGGCTGGGTGAGGGACCGTGGCCCAGAGAGCTGTTCCCAGGCGGTGGCCCTGGCCGAGGAGTTCCTCCAGAGGCAACAAGAGGACCTGAGGCGGGAAAACCAGGTGAGACCCATTTGTTGTCTGGTTGACTTTGGGCCAGTCGCTTGCCGTTGGCTTAGCCTACCTCACAGGGTTGTTGTGAGCATGAAATGGAGGAGGAAGAGAACGCATGTGCTGCCCTGAGCCCCTCAGGGGGAGGGTGGGATAAAAAGGTGACGGAGATCGCCAGTGGATGCGGCCTACGTAACCCTCTTGTGCACGTGAAGCAGCCCGATTTGGGGATGTTTCTCTGGAAGGTCCTCAAGAGTTCATAGGCTGACACGTGGTACAGGGCTGCCAACTTCCCGGTGGGGCCTGGCGATCTCCTGGAAACACAACTGACAACAGTGATCAGATCTCTGGACTACAGCAATTTATTTATTTATTAGATTTATATCCCGCCCTATCCAACAGCTCAGGGCGGCTAACAGACGGCCATGCCGAGGCTAAAATATGCATACAAACAAAACAGCATAATAAAACAGTGTATCCTACATAAAATATGGTGCTCTGATAATTTACGTAAAAAACAAGATGTGCGACGTCCCACACTGGCAGCCAAGTTCTTCATAGCATGAGTGCCAGGAGAGGTGATTCCCCGGCTCTGTTGGGCGACATCTACCCCTACCGTATGGGGTAGATGGTTGGAATCTCACTGGTGGACTAGTGGCGGCGGCGGCTCGCCCTCAAAGGCCTGGCGGAAGAGCTCCGTCTTGCAGGCCCTGCGGAACTGCACCAGGTCCCGCAGGGCCCGGATCTCCTCCGGGAGCTCGTTCCACCAGGTGGGAGCCGCCACCGAAAACGCCCTAGCCCTGGTTTGGGCCAGCTTCACTCAGTTCTCCCTGAGAAAATGGACTCTTTCCTTGTTTTTATTTTAATTGTATTCATTTAAAACATTTTTATGCCACCTTTGTACCAAAACAGGGTCCTCTGGGTGGGGCTGTACCCTATGCCATTATACCCCACTGCGGTCCCTCTGCTTCCCAAACCCCATCTTCCTCAGGCTCCATCCCTGAATCTTTAAGAATTTCTCTGTCTGGAGCTGTCAACCTTACCTCCGTACATGGCAATAAACAATGCTCCCTCTAAGCTGTGGAGTCTTGTGAGCGAAAATCCTACTTTGTGAGCGAGCGATTTGGCTACTGCATAAGTAAGTCAGGGCCAGGGCTTTTTCGGTGGCGGCTCCTACCTGGTGGAATGAGCTCCCAGAAGAGATCAGGGCCCTGCGGGACCTTGCAGAGTTCCGCAGGGCCTGGAAGACGGAGCTCTTCCACCAGGCTTTCGAGTAGGAGCCGCTGCCGCCACTGTACCGCCACCGTGTTGTCATCTTGTTGGTGGAATCTTTTTACAAGGTGCGCCGGCCCTGGGATGGAAGAACTGACAAAGTGGAGTACTGACCAGAAGAGACGTCAGCATTCCCTGGGGCGTATCATCGGAATCCCCATCTTGGAATTGTTATAGTTTACCGTTGAGCACCGATTTTAATTGTAATGATTATTTATTGGTTTTAAATCGTTTTATGTATGGCATTTGCCTCTTACGTTAGCCGCCCTGAGCCCATGTGAAAGGGCGGGATATAAATCTAATAATAAATAAATAAAATATAAAATAAGCCTGCTCTGGAGCCCTTCATGAGCTAAGACAAAAAGTCTGTGAGCTGGAGGCTAAAAAACTGTGAGCTAGCTCACACTAACTCAGCTTAGAGGGAACACCGGCAATAAGGCTGCTAAATGTAGGGTGGGGGCAGAACCAGGCCCTTTACCCGTCACTCCCCTTCTCCAGCTCTTCCCTGAAAGGCTCCCTCTCGGCTGTTACAGGTGGCATTTGAGAAAGTGTCTGTGAGTTTCTCTGAGGTGGGCCAGGAAATGTCTGATGTTGAGCGGTGCCAGGTGCTCGCCGAACCCAAGCAGGAGGATGCCGGGGCAGCCAGCCTGCAAGGTAAGGAGGAAGGCTGTTTTTGGCCAAAGATCTGGGATGGTCTGAAGCTCAGGCGTGGCACCTTCTTTCTTTTTAGCTGACACAGAGGTTGGTGTTTAAAAACTCAAGTCCCTTGGCTTTTAAGGGGAGGAAAGACAAGCGAACGGCAGAGACGCCCCTGAAATTTGGCCTTGTTCTGTTTCTTCACAGCGTTCCCCTTGCAGAGGGAAGCATGCCCCTTTCACAAGCTGAATGTTTGAGAGCATTCTGTAACGTCGCAGTAGTTCAGCCAATAGCCAGGCCTGACTGCAGAAGTGCTGTTGGATATCAGTAAAGGTAAAGGTAAAGGTTCCCTTGCTCGAAAGCCAGTCGAATCTGACTCTAGGGTTGCGGTGCTCATCTCCGTTTCAAAGCCAAAGAGCCAGCGCTGTCCGAAGACTAAACACCTAGGCGCACGGAACACTGTTACCTTCCCACCGAAGTGGTACCTATTTATTTACTTGCAATTTCTTGCTTTCGAACTGCTAGGTTGGCAGGAGCTGGAACTAGAGACGGGAGCTCACTCCGTCATGCGGCACACTCGGGTCTCGAACTGCTGAACTACCGACCTTCCACAGCCTGCAGTTCAGCGTCTTAACCACTTGAGCCACCGCAGCTTCCTGGATATCAGTAGTCCATAGTATATTTTATACTTTTTTCAAAAAACAAAGGGTACCGTAATGAGAGTGAGGTGCTTGCAAATCCAGTTTTGTTTAGCACAGCATAATATACTGGGCATTTCTTAATGCCTTCTGATATCTGTCAGGACTCGACCCTGTCCTCTCAAGGTCTTTCCTGGCTTGCTGTTTTCTCTTTCACATCTCAGCACACTCGGTCAGGGACAGAAATGTGGGAGAGTAAGAGGGAAATATTTAGGACGGAGTTCTGTGAGGACAGAATTGGTGACTGTGACAGACCTTTTGGCCTGATCTGGGAGAATTCTTTTTCAGGAAAAGTATTTTCAGTGGTCTTGCACATTATATGTATAACCCGATCTCTGGAGTCAGGCTAAGGTTGTCAACCTCCAGGTGGGAGCTGGCATTTTCCTGGAATTAAAATGGATCTCCAGGCTTCCTCGGGAGGTGGTGGGCTCTCCTTCTTTGGAGGTTTTCAAACAGAGGCTGGATGGTCATCTGACAGCAGTTCTGATTCTGTGAACTTAGGCAGGTCATGAGAGGGAGGGCAGGAAGTCTTGCATTAGAGCTTAGCTCTTTCTTACATGCCCAGGGAAATACTGATTGCCATTTTGGGGTCAGGATGCAATTTTTCTCCAGGCCAGTTAGGCTGGAGATCTTGGAAGCTTTTTGTCGTCATCTGGGCATGGAACAGTGGTCACGGGATGTGGAGGGGGAGGTATTTGTGAATTTCCTGCACTGTGCAGGAGGTTGGACTAGATGACCCTGGAGGTCCCTTCCAACTCTATGATTCTATGACTAGAGAGATCCATTTCCCCAGAGAAAATGGCTATTTTGGAGGGTGGACTCTATGGCATTATGTCCTGCTGAGGTCCCGCCTCCAACCATGCCCTTTTCGTTCCCAAAATCTCCAGGAATTTCACAACCCAGAGTTGGCAACCTTAAGCAAATGAACAAGGACTGGAATTGCTAAAGATGTTGTGCTTCAGTCAGAATTTCAAGAAGTTTGGTGTAGTGGTTAAGTGCGCGGACTCTAATCTGGGAGAACCGGGTTTGATTCCCCACTCCTCCACTTGCACCTGGCTGGATGACCTTGGGCAAGCCGTAGTTCTGGCACAGCTGTTCTTGAAAAAGAGCAGTTTCTGTCAAGAGCTCTCTCAGCCCCACCTATGTCACAGGGTGTCTGTTGTGGGGAGGGGAAGGGAAAGGAGTTTGTAAGCCGCTCTGAGACACCTTTGGGTAGTGAAGGGCGGGGTATAAATCCAATCTCTTCTTCTTCTTTATTGGAAGGTGCCCCTCACTTCTTTTTAAATCCTGGAGTGAGATATTTGTCAGAAATGTGTTGTTTTTCTCATTTTGAATAATTTTTTTTAAAATCTAAGATGCAACTGGTCTGTTTGTTTCCATCGCAGAAGGACTTCCCCTTTCCAAACTTGACCACCTCTCCTGGCTGAAGAGTCATTAAATGTGATTGGCCACTATTAGTGGGGGGGGGGGGACCCTTGAGAAAAGTGAAATTAACATATTGGCATGTTTGCTTTTATTTATTTAAAGCCCTTTCTACTTTACGGCACTCAAAGTGACTTACAATGTAAACAGAACAAAACCCATAAAAATATATTCAAAAGCCATGAATCAAAGCAATAATTTAAATCTGCCAATAGGTAGAAAAAACTGAACTGATCAAATGCCGTCCTGGATAAAACCGTCTTCAGATACCTTCTAAAGATCGAGAGTGTGGGAGCCAGGCACACCTCCCTTGGGGAGGTTGTTCCATAATTGTGGGGCTACCACCGAAAAGGACATATCATTTGCAAAATAGTAAAAAGCCCAGTAGCACATTTAAGACTAACAAATTTTATTGTTGCATAAGCTTTTGAGAAAGGGTTTGTTTCAGCCTCTAATGAGGTTTCTCATTTTTATTCCAGCAGATGGTGTGAGGGAGAGCGAGAATGAGGGGGACCGATTTGGGGTCTCACTAGGAGGGGGCAAACATGAAGAGCTGAAAGAGAATTTTTGGAATCCGAACGGGCTGAAGAAGCAAGAGGAAAGCCACATGAAGAAGATGAGGGGTGAATCCAGTCCTGGTCAAGATGGGGACTTCCGGGAAAACCGAATGGCCGAAAGAAAGAATGGGTGCATGGGAGCTCACTGGGGAATCTATATAGAACAGAATCCCAATCAAAGCTTAGAGTTTGTTCAGACCTTCACTCGGAGAAGAAATGTTATAGAATGTCAAAAGGACCACACAGGGGAGAAACCATACAAGTGCCTGGAGTGTGGAAAGAGCTTCACCCAGAGTACAACCCTTATTGCACACCAAAGAATCCACACAGGGGAGAGGCCATATACCTGCTTGGAGTGTGGGAAGAGTTTTAATGAGAGCACAACGCTCATTTCTCACAAGAGAATCCACACAGGGGAGAGGCCATATCAATGCTCGGAGTGCGGCACTGGCTTCATTCAGAGCTCGAGCCTGATGTCACATCAAAGAACCCATACGGGGGAGAAGCCATACAGGTGCTTGGAGTGCGGGAAGAGCTTCTGTCAGAGCTCCCAACTTGTTCGACATCGGCGAACTCACACAACAGAGAGGCCATACAGTTGCTCAGACTGTAGCAAGAGCTTCGGTCACAAATCGAGCCTTAATAAGCATGAGAGGATCCACACGGGAGAAAAGCCCTACACATGCTTGGAGTGCGGAAAGAGCTTCTGTCAGAGCACACACTTGACATCCCACCAAAGAATCCACACAGGGGAGAAACCCTACAAATGCTCAGACTGCAGCAAGACCTTTGGTAACCAATCTGGCCTCATTAAACACCAACGAATCCACACAGGGCAGAAACCATATACGTGCTCAGTGTGTGGGAAGAGTTTCAGCCAGAGCACACACCTTATTAGACACAACCGAATCCACGCCGGGGGGGATCTTTCCACCAGAAACTCCCCATACAGTTAGGTCCTTCTCTGGGGCCCTGTTCTGAATGAGCAGAAGCTAGTTTTGGCAAGGACATGGGTTTTTTTGACAGCCATCTTTCTCTGTGGAGTTCTGGGGTTTGGTGGTTTGTTGGTGGTTTCAGCTGAGTGTGAGCATCAACAATTTCAGTATATTGTATTGTTTTAAATAAATTGTCCTGGACTTCCTTCTGGCTTAGAAAGGTGAGCATAAAACAATGAAGCCTGTATAAATGTCTGGATTCTCTGGAAAGCCCCTAGATTATTTATTTATGTATTTAAAAATGTTTATTAGCTGTCTTTCCCGCTTGTAGAACTCAAGGTGGTTTACGATAGAAATAAAGCATTATTTTAAATGCACAATAAAAGCAATTAAAAGTCCAATTAGTGCACTTTCCTCTGTCAAGACCCGTCCAACATAACTGGCTGTGAGAGCCAGTTTGGTGTAGTGGTTAAGTGAGTGGACTCTAATCTGGGTTTGATTCCCCACTCCTCCACTTGCACCTGGCTGGATGACCTTGGGCAAGCCGTAGTTCTGATAAGAGCTGTTCTTGAAAAAGGACAGTTTCTGTCAAGAGCTCCCTCAGCCCCACCTACCTCACAGGGTGTCTGTTGTGGGGAGGGAAGGGGAAGGAGTTTGTAAGCCTCTCTGAGACACCTTTGGGTAGTGAAGGGCGGGGTATAAATCCAATCTCCTCCTCCTCCTCCTCTTATTCCTCCTCCTCCTCCTCCTTCTCCTCTTTAAAACCAGCTGTTCTGTGGCCAAACTGACTCCTCTGTCATGCACAGGCCAGAGCCAATCCATCCCTACAGGCGGAAGAATACTCTTGGAGCTGAATAATTCTATAGCCCTGTAAATCTGGTAGAGCAAAAATAAAAGGGGTGTGTGTGTGTGTGATACCACTTGCAAGATTTTATTTTGGCCTAAACTTTTGTAAAAGCCTATTAGTGTGTCTGGTGCCACAGACCCGATTGTTTTTCTTGGTGATAAATGAGAAGGTATCAGGTGACTTTCCATTCCATTGCTGCTTGCCTCATGCTTTCCTCCTTCCTCTTCCTGTGGCACTGTGAAGGAATAGCCTGCAGGTTTCGGTGATATCTGAGAAGCTGCTTCTTGGGCATGCTGTCCTTTCCCCCAAAGCAGCTGCTGGGAGGATAAATGGTACCTCATGGGTGGCAGAAAGAGCCAGTGTGGCATAGTGGGTAAAGTTTGGGACTAGGATCTGGGAATTCCAGGTTCGAATCCCCTCTCGTGCCATGAAAGCGTGCTGGGTGACCTTGGGCCAGTCACGCTACTTTCAGCCTTAAAAAAACAAGTCTAGCCACCTAGTGGTGCATAACGCTAAAGAGCTAGAACTTCTGGCAGTCAGACAATTTTAAGATCTCCTAGCTATACCACACACACTGCCATACGATACTTATAATTATTATGGGCTGCAAATTGCCTGGCCAAGGGTCAGTCATCTTTGTGGGTAATTTATTGATTTACCTCCCTTATACAATTCATTTATAGTCCACTTTTATCTCCAATGGGGACCCCATGCCTCTCCTCCATTTTATCTTCATGCCAAGCCTACGAGGTTCCTGACTCCATTTATTTATATATGATTGGATTTATATCCCACCCTCCCCACAAGCGGGCTCAGGGCAAGTCAGAACACATTAAGATACAGTATAATAATATAGTTCATACATGTTCAGATATCAACAGATATCAAAACAATTCAATTTCCAGCATCCACAGATGCCTCCCACAAGTGCAGGGCACGTGATGACTAAAACAAGGACCCATTTAGACTTTCAGCTAACCTACCTCACAGGGTTGTTGTCCAGATCAAAAGGGGGAGAGGAGAATGATGAGAGCTGCTTTGGAGAAGCACTGTGGAGAAAGACTGTATTTTTCCTCCTGGGGAACCATTGTTGCCAGTCTCCAGGTGAGGACTGGAGATCACTCAGAATTACAACTACTCTTCAGATGGCAGAGATCAGTTCCCCTGGAGAAAATGGTGGACTTTGTGTCATTATACCCTGCTGAGGTGGTGCAGGGTCTGCCAGACCCAGTTTCTTGCTGTGGAAGCTGATTGGGTGTTTTTGGACCACTCACAGACTTTCAGCCTAACCTACCTCGCTGGGTTGTTGTGCAGATCAAAAGGGAGAGAGGAGAATGATGTGAGCCACTTAGGTCCCCACTGTGAAGAAAGTCTACTTTTTCTAGGTAGAGGCTACAGGAAGTGGGAAGGAGTTGGAAACCTGAGGTCAGAGGGGTAGATAACAGTAGGTTGATGGCTGACTGGGAAGGAGATAGACTCCACCCTCCAAACCAGCCATTTCCTCCTGGGGAACCATTGATGCCAATCTCCAGTTAAGGGCTGGAGATCACTCAGAATTACAACTGCTCTTCAGATGGCAGAGATCAGTTCCCCTAGAGTTTGGTGTAGTGGTTAAGTGCGCGGACTCTAATCTGGGAGAACCGGGTTTGATTCCCCACTCCTCCACTTGCACCTGGCTGGATGACCTTGGGCAAGCCATAACTCTGGCGCAGCTGTCCTTGAAAAAGAACAGTTTCTGTCAAGAGTTCTCTCAGCCCCACCTACCTCACAAGGTGTGTGTTGTGGGGAGGGGAAGGGAAAGGAGTTTGTAAGCCGCTCTGAGACACATTTGGGTAGTGAAGGGCGGGGTATAAATCCAATCTCTTCTTCTTCTTCTTCTAGAGAAAACGGTGGACTCTGTGTCATTATACCCTGCTGATGTTGCCACAGCAAATTGACACTGAGGGCCCAAGGCCGGGGCACCCACCCAGAGCCTCTTTCTAGAGCTCATTGTATTTATTTCCACAACGGGCCTTATTCCTATCTATATATCTAATAGCCAAGTCGCCCCCTGGTGTGCGGATACCTAAATCCGCGCACCGGGGGCACCTGGGGGGGAGGGAGAGTTTTGTGCACACGTCCCCAGGTGTGCACAAAAATCTGAAACTCTTTAAAAAATGTTGGGGGGATACTTAAATCCCCCGAAACGGACAGAGCGTCCCCTGCGCATGCGCAGGGAATGCTCTGCAAACTCCCTCGGCGCCACTGGCGCCGCGGGGGGGG